AATAAAATGTAAATTCTCATATTTGTTTGCATCTATGCAATACTCAATTTCTTAAAAGTTTAATATCTAATTTTAGACTCTTTTGTGTAATGATTTGGTACTTAGGACAGAATTGGGTAGACTGAATTTAAGTATGCTTTCGTTACTATGTACACACCGGTATTTCTCCTTACCTGGTTATTTTCAAGTAGATATTCTTTACTGTTTTTTTGCAGCATGTCTCGAATGTGTCTGCTCGCTTGCTTTTCTGTGTGCGTTTGTTTCTATTTTTGTGTATTTTTCATTTTCTTTTGCTTTGTTTGTCCTGTTTACTGTATTTTTAGTTTAAGGGAGAAATCTCTTAGTAAAAAGCCTTGTAGTTTCCAAATGAGCCTCCAGGAATAATGAATATAGTAAAAATTCATATATATATATATATATATATGAAATTTTTTCTACATTCATTATTCCTGAACAAAAACAGAGGTTGTTCAAAATGTGACAAGAAGTGCGATCTATGCAAAAACTATTTAATTCAAGCTTCGAAATTTTAAAGTTCGGCAACCGGTCGTCAATATCCCATTCAACTAGTACTGTCTTGTTCGTCACAAATTGTTATTTATTTGGCTACTTGTGCCAAATGCAACCTGCAATACGTAGGCTCCACCTCGACTGAATTTAAAGTAAGATTTCGTAACCACAAGTCGAACATGCTTAAGAACAAAAGAACTTGTGAGTTGGCCATCCATTTTAATGACTCTGAACATGAAATTTCTCAAATCAATTTCATTATTATTGAACAAATTAGGTCTTTTGAAAATTCCTCACATCTTGAACGATTATTACTCACTTGGGAAGCCTATTAGACCGCGCAATTATTTACCCTTAATCCTCATGGTCTCAACAAACGGCGAGAATTTAGATCAAAACACCCTATTAATTACTAAAATTAAGTAGTTGTGATTTGCCATTCTTCCAACAGGACGTATTTGATTTTAATTTCACTTTATTATTATTTTTGTTATTTTTTTATTCCTGAGTTCAAGAGCTCTTTTCAGGGATTCTATTATGTTCGTCATCGGTTTTTGGGAAAAAGAGGCCTTGGAGGGGAAATTATTACTGCGGTTTAATGGCCCTTTCCTGGGATCCTGTTATGATTTTTGCCTGATTGCATTCATTCAGAGGCCTTCAATGGGAGCTTGTTACTCCGGTGTAAACACTACTAATTAAGTTAGATTCTTTTTTCTGTCTAATTTTTGTCGCTTATTTGTATTCAGCTTATTTGTATTCACATGTCACCCATAGTTCTTTATTTGCCTTCCATTGTTTAACCCTTCTCAGTTTGTAATTTAGACCTTTGTTGTATTACGTAACTTCAATCTTAATATATAAATCGCAATCATTGTAAATAGCTTTTTAGTTTTTAATTTTTGAACCTGAAGGAGGCCGAACGGCCGAAACGTCGTTCATTAAACTCGTTCAGAACAATCAAGAGTTGGCCCCTTCGTTACGTCCTTATAGCACACTTAACTACAAATTCACGTCGAGACATTCTATCCTGTGGATCCTCTTACTGGGAGTTCATCGTTAGGTATAGCGATTCTACGCTGCTTATGCATACATACCTACATACATACATACATATATATATATATATATATATATATATAAATATTATCTAATATTCATCTGTTGACAAAATTGAAAATTTGTCTTAATATTCTCAAACTGAACAGAGTGTTTCAGATTGTTTTCAAAATGCGACACTTTATTATGAATTTATCCGATGGAGGTGACATTACCTATTGATAACTGTCACGGCAAAATTTTATTGTAACCATTCTTCAGGGCGTTTCTTCACCACAGTTCCAGCGAGTGCACCTGATATACTGTCCACTGAAATGAGCGGAATCCCGGAAATTGTCAGTAACGTGCAGGTAAACCATGCTTTCCCACAACGAATTAATAACGAAAATCAATCAGTTCTGCTTAATTTTTTCGAAATAAATTTATTTTTACTGTTAAGGCTTTCGAGAATTCAATTCGCTCATTTTAATGCTGTGTATCAACAATTAAATATCATTGTGCACCATAGTTTAAACTGACTCAAAAGGCAGATATTCTAGATGTAGAACGTATGTGGAAGATTAAAAAAACCGTCTTACTAGTGCATGAACATCTATTTGTTTTCAAAATCAGGATAGTTCGGGGATCCCACATTCAAATGATGGAGGTTTCAGCCAGGAGACGATGAAAAAAGTCAACATACAGGCTATAAGAATAAGAGAATGGATACTTGTTCAGGTGGGTAAGGAAACATAACTTGGTCTTAAGTCCACAAACTTCAAACCTCAAACCTCAAACCCTCGCAAGCAATTGTCAGTTGGAGAAACAAATAATGATGAGAACAACGTTTCAACTGAAATCTCCAATCAGTTCCTAATTCATAACACTGCACAAGGTCACCTTAAAGAGGCCAACCAAGTAAAGCTCTGTGACAATCAAGAGATTCGTACCACACCATATGTTGAGGTCTAGGAGGGTACTCCAACAGTTTGGTGTAATTTAGTATAACTTGGTGCAATTAGTGTAGTTCAGGGAAGTTTGGTGTAATTCAATGAAGCCTGGAATAAAGAGTGTAAGTTTGTAATGTAACTGTAGTGTTGCGTTGGTGGGAGAGTATAACAGGTAATTAAGTTTTATCAACCGAGCTGATAACGTAAATTGGCCACCGTAAAGAGTTTAAAACCTGACTATTTGAGAGTTAGCCCTTCGTCAGACATCTGAGAACAGAGCTCAAAACAAATTAAAATATTCTCACCCCAAGTGTACAGTGCTTGTCGCCTCTTAATATTTATAAAAGTATATGGCGCCCGAGCGAACCTCTTGCCGCCATTAATTCATTTAATTTCTGTTCTTTGCAAACTAAGCTTAGCAACAGGCCGTTTTACAGTGGTGTACTTAGTTGCCAAGCTTCTGATTTGGAGTGAGGCAGAAAGTAACTGCGTTGTGATAGAGACCAATATCTAGTTAGCATGATAACTAAGTAATTTTTATTTGAAAAGCAGCAACGTTTGTATCATAACAAAGTCACCCTTGGCCTCACTCTTGTTCAAAGGCTTGGCAACCAAACACGAAACTGTAAAATGGACTATAAACCAATGAAATACGTCCACGCAGTCTACCAAAGTACATGATCGGTTGAAATCAGCGTGTTGAAATTACCATGCTTTGATAGAGTACAAAGCAAGATTACAATGATTAAATGAGTTTAACACTAAAAGCAAATGACTGAAATACGACTAATTAAAATCTTTAGGAACCTGCACTTGATATATGAACTGGTTTTTGATAAGATGATTATTCGGAGTTTAATTAATTTTTATAGAATCGTTTTATAGAGGTAAATTAGGGAGGATTAAAACGCAAAATCTTTATTTCGCTTGTGGGTTAACTTAATGAACAGGCAATGGTTTACAAGTTTTCTATTTGATTATTTTTGCTAGATTCGAAAATTAAGTCACCAGGCCACCAGGCGTGTTGTATCGAGGACGATGAATATAGGACTTAGAGAGCATAGTGGCAAAATAACTGGCACAACAACGTTGTAGACTAAGACAAAAAGAAATTAAAGTATTTACATTCCCAAAACAAGAAATGGTTTAGAACTCCGTGATCCATGGAATGTGGCCTCAAAATTTATAACACTGAGCTTTAACCGAGAACCAATTATAAAGGGAAAAGGCATAAGCATTTCTGTGTCAAGAACACCTAACCCTTCACGTCAACTACCCTGACTTATTCCCACTCTTCTCTTAAAGAACGTCATAACACAACGATCAAAAGTTGTCTTCGCTTTCGTGAAATTGAAAACAAGTTTAATTTCCATAAATAGAAAAAGTCTCATTTCAGTACTGCCTTTCTACGGCCAGAATACCTTGCACGCTTCTATGTCACCCCTCGACAAAGTTGACAAAACCTTTGCTGAAGACCTGCATTTGGAAGCCTTGAAGCAAAATAGCAAACAGCTAACCGTCATGCATATAAACACCCAAAGCATGATTTCCACCTTTGATAACTTGTTGTTAGCCGTCGATCGTTACAAGTTTGATGTCATTACGATGAGCGAAACTCGGCTGAAAGAGAACCACTTGTTACTTCAATACGTTACAATTCCTGGTTACACCCATGCTTTTAATAACAGAGATAAAAAGAGGAGCGGCGGTGTAGAAGTGTATATTAAGGATTCCATCAAGTTTAAAAGACGATCAGGTATTGAAAAGAGATATCCCACCTTAGAACATTTGTGGCTGGAAATCCCAGGTTGCAATAAGCATAGCAGGCTCCTGCTGGGAACCATCTACCGACTCGAATCCATGGTACCTTATAGCGATTGGATAGTAACATTTGAATCCCTGCTTAGTGATTTCGCAATTCATTGGGACGGCGCACTGCTCCTGACTGGCGATTTAAATGTCGACCTTCAGCGACCTGATATCCCCGCAACTAAGAAGTATAGTGATGTTCTTAAAACCATGAGTCTGCAGCAGTTAGTATCGAAGCCAACACGCACTACTCAACATTCATCAACCCTCATTGGCCATATCATCACGAACATACCTAACCAGGTAACTCAAACTGATGTCATTTCATCTCTTATGATCAATGATCATGACGAACCTTACGTTTGTATCAACGTTTGCATCACTAGATTTTTCCCAAGGTATAAATTTACCGGAAAGAAAAGAACTTTAACGCTGATGCTTTTATTGAGGACTTTGAACAGCTGCCCCTAAGTATCGTGTATTCAACGGACGATCCTAACATGCAAGTTGATCTTTAAGCTCCCTTATCCGCGAAAGCATCGACCGCCATGCGCCCTCAAAACGCACTAAAGTCACACGTCCTCCTGCGCCTTGGATGAAGGACTTGGATATACAACAACTTCAAAAAGGTTGTCTATCTCTTCAGTCTTCCGCCCGGGTAAATAACGATAAAGTCACTTGGACCGAGATCGAGAT